AGGTTTTTGTTGATCTTTTTCTAGCTGGGGCAGGGCCTCTGCTGACCCATAGAGAAACACCCACAAATGCTCACTCCTGGCCACTGGAGTTGAAGAAAGAAGAAAGAAACACGAAAAGCAGCTCAACAAAGACAGGTTTATTTTGGAGAATAAACCCGAGAGGGCCTTCTGGCCTATTTAGGTCCAGAGTGTTCTCTCTTACAGACTAAGGGTATTTGAGGGTTCAGGGAGGGAGAGCTTGTCGCAGGTTCGGAGTGTTTTGGGGTGGGGGGATTTTTATGGCTGGGTTGGAAGGTTTCGGGTCAGAGGGGAGTCTGTCTTGGGGTTGGCATGTTTCTGGTCAAAGGTGTCATTTGTGGTTTATGGTCACACTGATATTAGACATTAGGTTGATGTTTTTGGGGCTGGATTTTGAGGGCTTTTAATCAAGGAGAACTTCAAATGGTGGTGTGTGTCCAAGACGGCGACGTTCCTGCTCTGTCAATTCAGACTCTATAGTTGAAAAGGGTGAGGTGTGGCATGTTCTTTCCGGCTACTTCCTGCTGAGAGAGAGTCGTCCTTACAGGCCACTGAACGCAGCGTCTGTGGATACGTCTAGGAGTGGAAGAGGCAGATTTGTTCCCGGAAACACTCTGTTTTAGGGGCTTAGAGGCAGCGTCTGTGGATACATCTAGGAGTGGAAGAGGCGGATTTGTTCCCAGAAACACTCTGTTTTAGGGGCTTAGAGGCAGCGTCTGTGGATACGTCTAGGAGTGGAAGAGGCAGATTTGTTCCCAGAAACACTGTCTGTTTTAGGGGCTTAGAGGCAGCGTCTGTGGATACGTCTAGGAGTGGAAGAGGCGGATTTGTTCCTGGAAACACTGTCTGTTTTAGGGGCTTAGAGGCAGCGTCTGCGGATGCATCTGTCTTCAGCTTACAGGGCTGAAAGCACAGCTTAGGTTTCAGTGATTTCCAGTTAGAAAAGTGGGGAAAAAGGAAAAATTGAAGACATTATTTTGGAGACTTGTAGCCAGAAAAATTAGACTTTAAATTGTAGAAAATCATAAAAATTGAAAAACATCAGACAAGACTGGAATTTAACAACAGGTGTGCTATAGTTTTTGAAACATAGTTTTCTCTCTCCAGTTTTCCATTTTTTTAAAAGACACATGATGGGACTGGTTTACTTTATTATACTTGGCTTGATTATTTGTATACAGTGCAGCAAGAATAATTATTTTTTCACATAGGCCTTTTAAATTGTCTTTGATGGAACTTTGTTTTGTAGGCGTCTGAGATAAGACTTTTTAAAGCTGAGCCCAGCCATGGATTGTACCATTAAATACCTATGAGTTGGGTGATTTCCTCTCCTGTTGAGGTTCCTGGCCTGTCAGAAACTGACCACAGATCAGAACGTCTGTGCAGGGACTGTGTACACAGAACAGGAGGCCAGTTTCCAAGAGCTTTATTGGCTTCGTAAGTCAAGTTTGGTTCCTTAAAGGAAAGCACACAAAAAGTCTTGTTTTACCAAGACTTTGACCATTCCAGTCAAAGTCTTGGTAAAATAACCAGTTTCTCCAGTTGTGTCCTGTTACAAAACAGATTCTTATTCCACTTATGCAAATAACTGTATTGCCATAACTTAAGAATAGTCACAAATAGTTTCCAAATTCTAGAGAAAATCAGGTAGAGAGAAACAAGCTCCAAATTTTGTTCATGGGAGTATACTAAATTGTTAAAAGCTGTCCATAGCTCAGAAGAAGTTTCCTTGATTCTGAAAAGCAAGACAAAGGATTAGCAACATTTTAAGCAAAACGTCAAAAAGATCACTCCAGTCTCCTGTTGGTTCAGTTCATGCAGTTAATTCCTGTCCTGCTTGGTATTAATGAACATTTTAGCTCTTCAAGAGTCCTGAACGTTTTTCCTCTATTCTGATGTCACACTCTTCAAAGTTATCAGAAACCTGCATTCAGGAGCACTGGTTAGAGCTTCATAGCTGATTATAAAACCGCTTTCTAAAGAGGACCAAGACGAGACAACAGTTGTTCATGGATGACAGAATGTTTTAGGGTAGCCACAGGGACACAATTGGCAAGGAAATCTGTTACCTCGTGGCACACAATAATTTTAACATAACAATGATAATTACTACTGATAATGTACACTAAAATGTATGAGAATTATGAGTCTCCCTTAACTTTGGAACACATGCCAATAACATATTTATACAAATATAGCCCAAAGAAAGCCAAACACCATTGCATATTTGACATTGATGAGCTTCTGACAGCCACATGGTGACTGCAGCTCGCCCCCAGCCCACACACCGTGGCCCCTGCCCCACCTCAGCGGGCCCCAGTCCCACCGACGTGCAGCCCCCAGCACCTTCCTCCCCTCGCCTTGAGGAAATTGTTTATTCTTCCAGGACTGGTTCAGCCCTTCCTTCTTTCTCAGGGTGCAGTGAGGCCTTCCTCGTGTGCACACCCAGAGCCCTGGTTTACGCTTTGCTACGGTGGCCGTCAGACGGGGTCAGCTGCTCAAGGGGGAACCTGCCTTATCTGTCCGTTCCTGCAGCACACCGGGCAGCTGCGCCATGTGATGGGCTCTGTCATGTTTAGTCAATCGAACCAGAGCAATTAGGCAGAAGAGGAGATTTTTAAATTGCCACAGCCTGTAGAGTGTCCAAATAGAAATAAGCTGTTGTTTTAGACTCAGGCTAATGCAGCCATGGTTTTCTGCACAGCTTCCTTCTGGGAGCACCTCAACTTTCTTTTAGGCAATCGGCGATAAAATGCCAGAAACGCGGGACGCGGGAAGGGCGGGGATGCGCCTGTTTTGTTCACATCTGCGCCTGCAGCACCGGGCTGCGTATCCCGTGGGGACGCTGGAGCATCCGTGACGCTCGTGAATAAGTCAGTGAGCCCAGCACTTCCCTTTCCAGAGGGGGAATCAGGGACCACTAGGGGCAAGTCCAGCCCAGCAGTTCAGAGAATCCTCCGGAAGAACTCAGCGTGCCAGCTCTGCTCTGCTCTGCTCTGCTCTGCCTGGGGAGGTGGCAGGGGGTGTACGAGAGCAAGGGCTCCATCCAAGGCCACTCCAAGAACCCATGTGCTGCCCTTGGGTCTGGTGGCCACGTCCCCTTCCGCCCCCTCACACAGCCACTGGGGGCCAGAGCTCAGGGGAGTCAGCCAGCTTCATACTAACTGCCCAGGCTTTGTTCAGACCTGCCTCTTCTCGTAAACCTAAAATATGTATTTTGGAAGTGCACGTGCTTGATGTCTGAGCTCTTAGAACGTCTCGTCTGATCTGCTGTGGCAGGTTTCCTTAGAAGAAAGGTGCCAGCAGGTGGAAGAACCGTCTCTCTCTAATTCATGCGGGGACCGTGCCGGCCTGGGACCCGCCTGAGGACGTACTGACTTTCGTGGACTCGCTCTCCGGCCCGCTGCCCCAGCCCTGCTGCCTCATCACTCCCGTTTAATGCAAGGAGCCTTTTGTGACTGTCTAGCGTGGGCTCACCAGGAAGCCACCGATTGACAGCTCTTCCTCTGCTGAAGGATAAAAACATCCAGATTCGCAGTGAGGGTGCCCACTGTTTAAAAAAAAAGCTGCACTTTCCTCCACAAAAGGGCTTGGCCAGCAGCATGGGGCGCCCTGGACCGGCTCTGATGGGGCTTCCAGGGGAACCCCCAACAGGCCTGTGGTGTGGAGGGTCAGAAGTGGGGGGGCAGGTGGCCACCACTGGCCCATGGCTTGAAAGGTTTGGACCTGCCAGCCCCTACCTGCCACCTTCTGCTGCTGTGGGGCCTGCTGGGAACGTGTCCCACCTGTGAATCCAGTGGGTAGCGTTAGAGCCGTGGCAGATGGGCTGGATTTGGCTGCTGTTTGGGTTGCGGGCGACGATAGGTGTGCAGCCTGGGGCAGAGATGGACACACAGGGCCACGCTGACATCGGGGGGAAGAGGCCACGGCAGTTCCACGTGAGGGTCACGGTGGATGAGACTCCTCTCTCCACACTTGGCTCCCTGGGGAGAAGGAAGGTCGGGGCGCCTCTGCTGGGTGTGTTCACGAGTGTGTGGAGGAGGAGACCACCCTGCTCAGTCAGCTCTGCTCTGACAAGAGCTCGGTGGCCCGGACAAGCACTCCTGCTCGTGCCTGGTGTGCAGGACGGGTCCAAACAGACTCAGGCTTCCCACGTCCCCGTGCAGCACCACGGCCCCCGAGCCGCAGGCCCTCCCTCTGCTGTCACCGATGGGTTCTGCTTGTCACTGGGACCTCTTTCCCAAGCCGGCAACTCTGCATCGCATCGGGATGGAACCAAGCGAGGTGCCACCTCGGGGCCACAGTTTTCAGTGGCCATTCAGGAGGGTCTGCTCTGCCCAGCATGGTACCGAGCCAGGCACCAAAAAGAGAATGACAGCACCTGCCCCCCCCCCGTCGGGCATCCACGGGGATGGAGACTCCCTGCCAGTTTTTAGGGTTAGGGCAGGACACCCCACTTTATAGCAGAGTTTGTAGTGGCAAGAAATTGCCAACTGTTTAAATATCCATCAGTGTGCACTGGTTCACTAATGCACTATAAACCATTGCTAGCTCCAAGCTCCAAGACCATTAGGTAAGAAAAGCAGGTTGTGCAAAAGCAGTGTGTGAAGCTGATCCGATGACTTTAAGGCCTGTGGCAAGCGTGCACATGCGTGTGTGTGTGTCATGAGCACACACATTAGGGTTGTGCACACGACCTGCCATCAGAGGTTGCTTCTCAGAGGCGCATGCCGAGGGCCCGGGGATGGCAACGCCCTTCCATGCAGAAGGCGCCTGGGTGGGTCTTGTGGGACACACGCATGAGGACCACCCACAGGGTGGAGTCTGGCCTGGCCAGGCTGGGGGTCCCAGGACGAAAGGCAGAGGTGAGAAGAGGCAATTCTGCAAAACAGCCTCGACCTCGAGCTGGGACTTTGAACTGGTTTGCACTTGAAAGCCGGGGTTGGTAAAAGCTGGGCACCCACACTCTTCTTCCGTTGCAGCTGGTGGCAGCGATTGTGTTCATCAGTTTTGGTGTGGTGGCCGCCTTCTGCTGCGCCATCGTGGACGGCGTATTTGCAGCGCAGCACATTGTGAGTACGTTGTCATTGTGTGCACAGT